ACCCACTCTTCACATTCTCGGGTTTTTTTTTTTTTTTGAAATAGAGTCTCACTCTGTTGCCCCAGCTAGAGTGCAGTGGCGTCATCCTAGCTCACAGCAACTTCAAACTCCTGGGCTCAAGTGATCCTCCTGCCTCAGCCTGTGAGTAGCTGGGATGACAAGTGCGTGCCATTGTGCCTGGCTGATTTTTATTTTTTTAGTGGAAATGGGGTTTTGCTCTTGCTCAGGCTGGTCTCAAACTCCTGAGCTCAAGCAATCCTTTCGCCTCGGCCTCCCAGAGTGCTAGGATTACAGGCGTGAGCCCACATTCCCGGTTATTTATCCTAGAGAGGTTATTACATATGTGCACAAGGGGATCTACATAAAGACTGTACTGCAGAATTGTAACAGTGAAAATGGGAAGAAATAAACTAAACATAATATGGAAGTGGTTAGATAGCCATGGTTTACCCATATTATGGAATACTATGCAGTCAGTCATAAGGGAACAGGACAGAATTACATACGCTGACATGGAAAGGTCTCCTCAAGACATTGTTAAGTGAAAGAAACTAATAGAACCAGTATATTCCATTTATGTATGTAAAAATGCACACACAACTTCTCCCACTATTAACAAACCAAACTTATAGATTTAAATATGTACATTAAATACACAAACGCAAAGAAAAAAAAGATAGAAAGGATATACACTAACACAGAGGACTTAAACAACTTGTCTGAAGAGTAAATAGAACCGGGCTCAAACAAATTGTCTGACAGTTAACACCTACAATATACTGCATTTAAGATACTTTCAACTACGGGTACAATGTATTTTTCTGCTTTTGTTATAGTACGTTCTCTTTCTGGAGTAGGAAGAGGCTTGCTTGCTTTGCAGCGGGAGAGGAGGGTCCCGAGTTAAGAGATCTGTGTTCTCGCTTTGGCCCTGCTGCCCACAAACTGTGTGACCTGGGGCAATCCACTCCACTTCTCTGGACCAGGTGGGAGGAGCCAGTTAGACAAATGAGTTCTCAGGCCCCTTCCAGTGGGAAATCTGAGTTGATGAGTCACTTTTGGTTTGGTCATGGGGAAAGCAAGATTTAGGAGACTAAGGAAGGAAGAAAAAGCACACATTCAAGGGCCCTGGAGTGGGAGGCTGCTGTGGTTAAAGGAAGAAGGTTCCTTGTCAGGAAGGAAGGGAAGGAACGTGAAAGAAGTTTGGAAATCCAAAAGGAGGGGAAATTGCAGGTTGAAAAGTGTAAGAGCACATGAGAAACAAGTTCATATTACTAATGTAGATATTTAAAGTTAAACATAAATGGAAAGG